AAAGAGGGCTAAATTGCGTACACTTAGCGCGAGGTGACATCAGACTGTTATGGAGTAAATCCTTACCTTTAGATAGGAGAAGCAGGATCACCGCGATGTCTCCCCAAACGATTCCACGCGTAGTTCCCATACTTGTCAATCATAAGTGTAATTTCACAATGAACAGGCAAAAGTGTTTTGATTCCTAAAGAATAGAACTTTACAGTGTTAACGATTCGCGCGAAGGAGCCACAAAAGTCCTTAACGTGAGTGTCCCATTGACGGGTGACTGCAGCGCGAGCTGCTGGACCGTCAGCGCGAGCGCATTCTCTCTTTCACTCACACACACAGAGAGAGAGAGAGAGAGAGAGAGAGAGAGAGAGAGATACCAGGTACACACACACACACACACACACACACAAACAAAGCGCAGCAGGGGGAGGTTCACATCACATCCAGCCAATTTCCTCAGATGTGTGTTTCCGTCCTGAATCACATCAGCGGCTGTCCAATGAGCCAAAGAGTTCCTAATGAAATAAAACTACATTTTGGGGGCATGCTAATAATATGTGCGTAAGGTGGAACAGGTAACTGGACAAGCATGTGACTTTATGCTTTTCAACTAGCCTGTGTTATGCATTATATTATTAATTATTGATCGTTTTTATAAACATACTCATGTTTATAAAACATACTCATATTTTCCAGGCTCTGTCCGTTTAAATATGCACAAGCGACTGAGTATGAAATTAAAGGGTAGCCTACATATACATTTACATATATCTGCGTTGTAGAGAACACCGGGGCTAGTTGTCACACGGGGAACTTGCCAAAGGGGTAATCATTTCAGTAGGCCTAACAAAAATGTTCCAGTTACTTAAATGCTTATATTTTTAGAGTAATAATTATCTGTGCTGGTTTCAAACAGTTCAAAAAGTGCAAAAAAGTAAATAACTTCATCAAAAAAAAACATGATTTTAAAACAATTGTATTTTCATAAATGTTAGTTTGAAGTAATTAACTGCTTTGTAGATCTCGTGTTTTTTCTTTGTCAGTAAGAGTGGAAATTAGCTTTTTTTTTGTAGCCAAGATTTTAGGGTGTGTCGATACAGTAATTGATTTTAAATATTGAAAAATGTTCACAAGAGTAAAACGTGTGACATCTAGCCCCAGTTTCCTTTGTATATTAGCTTAAAAAATAAAAACGTGAACTGTGTAATACATGTATGCACTTCGAAATGAACAGGTCCAGTTGTATGTCAAACAGAGGTGAAGGGTAAACGTATGAGCAAAATAAGATTTGTCAAAGTAATTCACAATAAAATAAATAAATGAAAGTAAAAAAACTATTGCAGGAACATTTTATTTGCTCCCCAAAACAGTGTTTAATAAGAATCAGGTGCACAGGCAAAATGATCAACAAACAGAGCCACATGGCATTTTAAGGACAAACCACACCCAAGCCTATTGTTCCTCACATCCTCCGTTCTGTGGAGTTCTGTAGAGAATTCAATACTGTCAGTAAAGGCCAAGGTTTAAGAGAGTTGTTGTGAGTTCAAGATGGTGTCGGCCCCATTTTGGCAGTGTGTGAGCCAGTCTCTGTCTGTGCTGGGCTGCTCTTGGACCAGATGACTGCTTAGCTCTCTGTGAAGAGGGGTAAGCATGATGCATTACTCTGCCTCTAGGGCAACCCACCAGTGCATCACAGGGCAATCACTCCAATCAACGTCTGCCCTGATGGATGCCAAATCAAACTATAGTGGAGACCTCAAATTAAGTATACATAAGAGAAAGAGGCCAAGCAAAGATGCTTTGGTAACGAAAAAAATTCTCTGTTGCTTAAGATACAAAAGAGTTATTGAGGTATTTTCCATTCATAAAGTCCTCAACATCGGGAGTGCAGGAGTATTGGGGAAATAGAAAAAAAGTCTATTCTTTTTTATAGAAATAAAAAAGCAGAGTGCCAGACAGTTTGGAATATACATTTTTCCTGGAAAATATGTATTTAATTCAAGTAATAAATATATTCCATAATTAATTAAGTGTAATGATATATTTATTACTTGAATTAAATCCATATTTTCCAGGAATCAAAAACTTCATTCAAAGGCTTCACTTCAACTGTGTTTCAAGATTTATAGATTTATTTATATTAAAAAAATTATATACTGTATAATACATATTATTCAAATATTATTTATTAATAATTTTCTATATAATTCATGATTATTATAATATTTTATATAAACAATAATTATTTTATAATTGTCCAAGTTAAATGATTTCAATGACAGTACAGAATTGGAATTGCGTAATTATATTAATAAAGTTTTTTTTGTTTTTAAATAAAGATATAACGTCTTGTCAGTGGGTCACAGTAACTCTGCCCTCATAATGTTTATGAATTTTAAGTGCACATAAATGATGGTGGTCAAATGTGAACAATACACAACAACTATAACCATGGCATGCATGAAAATACAATGAGTGCAAAGGCGTTGTTTCAAGCTCCACCTTTTTGTTCATTACAAGATATTTGTTATGCCGTATAAATACAGTATTTCACTTACTCTGCATATTAGCCACAGGATGGTTTTGTTTACATAGCAGCATGTAGGCTCATCACCATATACATGATGCAGATTAAAAAAAGCTTAGGTTACTCTAAACCAGACACACAGTGGTATTTTCAGACATATGGTCAATGTAAATCAATATAGATAAGGCCATGCATAGGCAGATTCATGACATTCACCACTGCATCAGTTCCTTTTGAACGTGGTTGCTTGACAAGATCATTTTCAGATGAAAGCTTGTCTTATAGTAGATAAGATCACAGTTTTTACTGTCAGATTCTGTCAAACAGATTTGTTTGCATCAAACATGGTGGAGCTATTCTGTGGTATTTTGCTAATAGAGCTTTGCATCTATGTACCTTACATTAAATAAAAATGATGATAAGAACTTTATTAGTAAAATATTCATTCAAAAAGTGCTGACTGTAGTAGATTGAACAAAGTCCATATTCCCACTGGGAAATGCAGTAGCGCAACACTAGTCATTAGTCCATTCCCAAAATCAGTTGACCAGTTTGCTTTACTTATAGGCTCTACTTAGTTTAAATGGGTAATATGATCCTCAAAATGAAAAGCTTTCTCATGAACTAACAGAGTGAAAGGGTTCAATTGAATTCCATGCAGAGTGAACAGGTTCACATGTTTCAGCCGCTTCGGTAGATCATAAATATCCTACAAATCCAGAGATCTGGTGCACTAGATTGAAGATAATACAAAAGCTGTACATACATTATATTTGTTTTTATGCTTCCAAACAGAAATTAAACATTACTGCTGTGGTGATAACATAATTCAGCCTGTTTGTTCACAAGTCGTTTGTAAGTGAGAAGTCAGTACAGAGCATTTCTGAGAACTCTGAGATTAAATCTTTGCATCCTGACAGATTCGCATCTTCTGACCACTTAGAGCCAGATTTAGTGATACTCTTGGACACTTATAACCTCTGCTATTATATTACTGGAGTCACACAATGGCTTAGTTGGTCAGTGGTTCTGAACAGGTGGATCATGACCCAAAAAAAGGGTCGCAATTCTGTTTGAAACTAAAAGAAAATCATAAAATGCAACTAACCATATTTGCTATGCATAGTTAAGAATGCAAAATAAATAAGCTTATCACACTTTTAAAAAGGAGCAGCAAACACTCATATATTGTGTTGTTGACTTCAACCGAATCAAACTCTACAGTATTCTGGTGCAAATTTATCTATAATTTGACACTTCTCAAAATTACACAGATGCCCTCATATTTGAAATACATGAACAAGGTAAAAGAAACCTCACTATATTAAATACGTCGTCTCTTAAAAAAAGGAATAAACATGGTTTGTGCAGACAAATTATTGATGTAATAAAATAAATCATAACAGAGTTCAAATAAAGGATCAAATCTAACAAAAAATTTTGATTAAAAAAATACATACATATATCGATAGATAGGGTTAACAATATTATTTTTAGGAGTGTATAATACACTGTTGAAGAGAACTAATCTAAATTTGGGAAATATCTGCACTAACAATAAAATATAATATTTAAATATCATCTGCTTAGTAACAGAAGTGTATTCTTAGCAAAGATGGGGACTGAACAATCATAGTAAGGATAACAAAAAATAGCATCTTGAGGACAGGACGCCATTTGTCTGGGACGTTTGTGTTTGGAAGGGCATGAGGACGAGTACAAGATGACAGAATTTCAATTTTAGGGTGACCTACTCCTTTAAGACATCAGGTTCTTTTGGGAATTTTCCACACATTCCTATTAACAAATCTTGGTTTTCCACTCAAATTAATATCTCAATTCAAAGCCAGCCGAGAACCACTACCACAGAGCTTCCAGAGGTCATGCTTGTGACTTTATTCGATCTCATGAATATGACTTGACAGAAAACATCAGGGTTTTTTGTGTCACGCAGTAATTTCCGTATGTGCATGAGATCTGCTGGTGCAATTTCCCTGATTTTGCATTAGTGTGAGCATGAAAAGGGCTGGCCCCAGAAACACTCCTCAGTGAGCCGTCCAGCTTGACCCCTATTAAAGGGCTGTCAGTTGAAGAGCAGATGGTACCCACTCTCTATCTCTCAGCCCCGAGGGGGGGTGGCCATGGCAACCGATATATAATGGCTACCCCTCAAGTGGTGGAATCGCTTGTTCTAATTTGTTAAGTACCACTTCAGCGAATTTGATTTAATCACTACGTTCAGGTCTTAACACAACTGACATCAAATAAAACACTGCAGGTGTCCATGGAAGACAGTAAATCTGATCCTCTGGTCTCGGTTCTTATGCCTATTAACTAATTGAACATAGGAATACACCAAATTCAGTTTTACAGACATGAAAAGAGACATTCCTCCCTCACAAAAACAAAAATATCAATGATTTTGGATCCTAAACACAATGTTGCACTTATTTAATAATTAAAACTTTATTTTAGCCTGTAACTTCAATTAAAGAGAAATACAAGGACTTTTATGAGACAAAAATACCAGCACAGCAGCATCAGATTTTGAGAAAGAATTTTTTGCGGTAGAGCAGGTAGGCAATGAAGACCCAAAGTGCGGTAGCCCATATATTCTGGAAAAGCTGTTCCCAGTGACTGTCCTGAAAACGCATCTCCCAGCTGAAAGGAAAGTAAAATCCCAGCAGAGAGTTTCCAACATAGACAAATATAGAGTTCATTCCTGCAAACAAATGCACAGTAAGCTTTTCTGGATTGGGTTGGCTGATAAAATTATGCTTTAAAGGAATAGTTCACCAAAAATGAAAATGTGCTGAAAATGTATTCACTCTCTGGCCATCCAAGATGTAGATAAGCTTCTTCAAATTTCTTCATCTTTCTTCTTCATGTTTCTTCATCAGACCAGATTTGCATCATTTGCTCATAATGGATCCTCTGCAGTGAATGGGTGCCATCAGAATATGAGTCTAAACAGCTAACAAAAACATCACAATAATCCACAAGTAACTCCAGTGCATCAATTTACATCTTGGGAAGTGAAATGCCGTGTGTTTGTAAGAAACAAAACCATCATTAAGACAATTTCATAATCCATAATAACGCTTCCCCCTGTTGTCCTCTCATATCAGAATCCACCGACATATTTGTGTAGAACTGTTTTGGAGTGTTTCCACTTGTAAATAGTGCTTGATCTCTGCATATTTCTCTCCTGATACAGGCTAGATGACTTTTTCATTGGAGAAAGTTGTTAACTGATGGACTGGAGTTGTGTGGGTTACTTGTGGATTATTGTGATGTTTTTATCAGTTGCTTGGACTCTCATTCTGACAGCACCCATTCACTGCAGAGGATCCTTTTGTGAGCAAGTGATGCAATACTACATTTTTGAATGAAGAAACAAACTCATGCACAATTTGGATGGTCTGAGGGTAAGTACATTTTCAGCAAACATTTATTATTATTTTTTGGCAAACTATTCCTTTAAATAAGTGTATTCTCATACCAGGATAAATGAAAGGTTGTCCGCCCCACCATTCCTTAATGTCTACAACGAAATACATCAGACCCAGCAGCACAAAGGACATGCAGCCCATGCAAGTAACAAATGACAGGGACCTGAAAAAGACAGCAGATCTGAACCATTTGATAAGACAGCAATGGAAAACATATAGTGCAGACACATATAAGATACATCAGTCCACAAAAATATCAAAAATGACCCTTAGAGGTGCACTGTGCTTTGCCAAACATTTCTTGTAACAGAGAGGACAACACAGTGCAGAACCAGGGACTAAATAATGGATGGACATATAGTAGTTTCTGTGCTCAGAGAAAGCCAATTAAGAAACATAAGCATCCAAAGTGAAGGCTTGGCACCTGCTCAGTACAACTATGTCAATAAGTCATGTGCCTCTGTGTTCCTAAGTGCCAGGATGCTCAATGGAATTTTATCTAATGTAAAATGGCTGCGTCCCAGAACATCGTTTATGTCAGCTGAAGTAAAAAAAAACAAACAAAAAAAACCCTCTTGGCTGGGAGTTAATTACTTTTAGGGATGAAGACAGACATACTCAGGGGCTCAATAAGCTGGCATGATGAACTGCCCATATAAATTCAAGCAAGTGTGTCTGTACTCAAACAGGTACAGTAGAGTCACAGAGACACAGAGTGCATCCAGCAAAGGCAAGATGAGGTCAAATTTAATGTAAAAACCTTTACGCAGGTCTCATAAAAATAATCAGTATTTTTGCTTTGTTTCCCAGTTTAAATATTCTCAAAACAGTGTTGTTAGTGTAAACTAAAACAAATTGTTAAAATGAAATGAAATTAAAATGATGAAATGATATGAAATGAATTAAATATTAAATAAAAACTTTAAATAAAAATTACATAAAAATTATATGAACTGAAATGAAATTCGGTTAAAGTTGAAGTACTAAAATTACTAAAACTGAAAAAATAAATAGAAATATTAAAACTAAAGAGAAATATTAAAAATAACATAAAACAAATAATAACAAATAAATATAATATAAAATAAAAGCACATAAAATTACTGAAACTCGAACTAAAATTAAAACTGAAAATCTTATAATAGTATTTAAATAATGCAATATATTATATAGTATAGTATATAAATAGCAAAAATAATACCAAAATGTATTTTATTAATTCTTTTTAATTATTTAAGTAAAAACTTTTCCCCATACCCCAGTTTTTTTTTTTTTTGCTTATAGCATAAACCTCACAAATCCTTTTTGTTGTTTTTTTCTTTTTTTGCATGTAGAGATGAACAATCGTATGACTGTCTTCTGAACATTTCAGTTACATGCCATTATTTATTCTGAGGTGTTAGATGACAAATAATTTAATGTGCATCGTTCTGAAGAAGGGCTGACCTCATCCTGCTCATTTTCACAACAGGCGGATGAGATAAGCCAGAGTTCGGCAAGATATATGGTTGCGAAAATAAAACTGCTCACTCTCTCTTGGCTGTAAAGAAGAGTGATCTAGTTGGACAGTGGATGTATCACCCGCCGCGTCTCACTCCTGTGCCAGTGGGGGTGATTATTTACAGGACGTTCTGTCGTTAGAGGTAAGTAAACGCGTGTTTTAGCAGCCTCTGATTTGTGCCTGCTGGAGTCTCATCCCTTCTTTTGTGGATGGAGAAGTAGCTGGATTTAGAGGGTCAGGAAACACTTACCAAAGGTTTTTATTGACAGGTATAAATCCTTCGTCTCTTGTGCACTTAGAAAGGATGGCTGCAGAGATTCCCTGAGGATCAGAATAAAACAGATTTCAAATCAATGCAGACCTGTAAAGCAAGCACTACCAGACAAACCCAAAAGCAGCCCCGCTATAAAGAATCAAGCAGATTAGCTGACGCTCCCGGGAGGTGAAGCCCCTCCAACTAACACACGCAACACAGATCCATCTCCTCATGCCTTACGCAAAAGCTCTCTTCTCAAACGTTACATTTCTACATTGCAATATTTTATTTTATTTTTTTAAATTAACACCCTAGGTAATTGGGTACAAAATTAGCTCATCAATATCATCCATACTTTCCCAGTTGATTACATTAGGAATTGCAAACATTTTTTGTATTACAAGTTTTCTTAAATATGTTTAAATATGCAAAATGAGGCATTATCTAATTCAATATCCAGTAATTTACATACATTTCCAAAACAGAAGTCTGTAGATAAAGTCAGGTTCAAAACACTTGTTTTTATTTTGTTGACATATTAGAGTTAAGTGTTTTTACACTTGGGATTTTGAATCTCTCTTTTATCACTCTATAAATCAGAAAATACTGTTTAAATGACCAAAATTATCATCTTTTTATAAAACAATATAAAATCAATCAAATTATATTTGAACAGACCCCTTCCAAATACAGATAGGAATAAAACTGTACATTTTAGAGTATGTAAGTGCTACTCAAGTAGAGATTTCTGGCTCAATGCATAGGGAAAAACTCAGTTTGAGAAAGCAGCCAAATATGTGACCCTGAACCACAAAACCAGCTTAAGTCGCTTGGGTATATTTTTAGCAATAGCCAAAAAAACATTGTATGGGTCAAAATTATAGATTTTTCTTTTATGCCAAAAATCATTAGGATATTAACTAAAGATCATGTTCCATGAAGATATTTTGTAAATTTTCCACTGTAAATATATCAAAACTTAATTTGTGATTAGTAATATGCATTGCTAAGAACTTCATTTGGACAACTTTAAAGGCAATTTTCTCAGTATTTTGATTTTTTTTGCACCCTCAGATTCCAGATATTCAAATAGTTTTATCTCGGCCAAATATTGTCCTATCCTAACAAACCATACATCAATGGAAAGCTTATTTATTCAGCTTTCAGATGATGTATAAATCTCAATTTTGAGAAATTTACCCTTATGACTGGTTTTGTGGTCCAGGGTCACATATACATATTATTGTAAATGAAATCTATAAACAATAGATAATGTGCAATAAACACTTAAAAATTTATTTTGGATGTTTTTTTCCCACTAGTCTAAAACTTTATGAAAACATGTTTATCTAAAACATGTTATGAAAAGCCAAATAGCCCAAAATTTCAAAATTGACCAGTTCATAAAAAACTGTGTTTGACTGCAGTGTCTGGCCTTAAAAGAATTATATCTGAAAAAGTTAGAGTATCACTGCTAAATCAGGCTCATTTAAAGGAACATTGTGCTTTTGTGAGGATAGACAGTTCAGCACCCAAACCTGCTTGTTAGGAGGATATCCATCATTTGTATAGATGACAGAATCAATGGTGTGGAAACAGCCTGGCTGGCTCTAGATTGAGTCTCAAGGCTATGCAGGCAGGATGTGGGACAATCATTGCTATGTGGGGCAATCGCTCAATTTCAATCTCAAACTGCGGAGTAGTGATCGTTGAACTTTAATTAACTCAGGGTCCTTGTTTATTGGCACGGTGAAGCACAAACAGCTTCAAATAATCCCACAATCTGACAAAGGACTCATGCAAACCATGACAAGACAACCCCTCTCCCTCTAAACGCGCACCGTTTTATGACTGTTGATGTGGTGGGAGGTAATTTTTGTTTAACCAGGATAACGTGTGTGAAGAGCACATTAACAGCACAAGAGGCTGTTGGAGATGTGCTGCATAAAACATTCTCAGACCTCAGAGCTCTCCAGAGATGTCAATGATAATCGATTGTTCGCTTGTGCTATGAGATGCGCAGTGTTTATCGCGAAGCATGAAGCCTGTAACGGTCTTGTTGGTTGCCTTAACCCTTAGTTATATATGCTTTGTGGTCCAATACACAATCTATATTTTCTTTGACGTCAACGTAGGGATGAAGCATTGGGGGAAAGTTGAGAGGAAAGGAATAAAACATATCAACAGATGCTTTACAGCATATACAAACAAGGAATCTTTCCTTTTGCTATTCTATATATCTTCGAAAAACATGATCGCTTATCACTAAATCTGAATAAAAAAGGAAAATGTATTTAAATATGATGCAAGTGCTATATTATACATAAACCATCTTTGTGTTGCACAATCAGAGGCAGTGTGTGAACAGCAGTGGCATAATTTTTTGCTGTTGGCTAGTTTATTTTATCATGCTGTGCCTCTAGGCAAAGTGAAATAGATCTCTGTTCATTTATTTCAGCACCCCGAGCAGTGTGGCCCCATAATGCTGGCCAATATGATTCAACATACAGCTATAATGGCTCGATTTGTCATAGGGCTTTGGAATAATGAAATTTAAAATACTGGGATCAGGCATCTGCGTACTGTGGGTCTGGGTTCACAAAAAGCACACTCAAAATGCTTCACTGTGAGAAGTAGAGCAGAATTGTGATTAGGGTACATACCATGTAAATGTAAATAAAACAACATATAAATATCTATGTATATAAATATCCTTCAAATATAATACGCAAATACAAAATAATTTAACAACGGGGTAAGAAAAAAGGTAGAAAACCTAATTATAAAAAAGAAAAACTTAACTTACATTTTCACTTTATTTTTTTAATTCATTTTTTTAATTGTTTTTTTAAGCATAAACCTCACTAAATGTTGTTAGATTTATAGTAACTGATGTTTTTTTACATTCCACTGCACTACTTTTCCATTGTTTTCCTATGTAAAATGCACTTGACAGACGTTTTTGACCATTTCACTCTCACCTTGCATTTTTTAAGCACCTCGTGCATGACAAGCTGTTCTAAAAAGCAGCACTCAAGCCAAAATAAGTTCAACTTAAAAAAAAAAAAACAAGCATAAGGCTACATAGTAAATGACTAGACTACAAAAATGTATATAAAATATTAAAATCCCTGTTTTCAAACAGGTTTCCCAAACATTCCCTCTGTCTCTCATTGGTCGGTTAAACAGAAAGCCCCACCCCAAATTCACGACATTGGATGAGTGTTGCTGTTGTTGGGCAGGTCAAACAAACAAGGCAATGTTTTGAAAGTGCAAAAGTGTTTTCTGAAAAAGTCAACCTACCAATGGCTTACTGATAGTTTCTCTACATTTTAAGCTTGGATAAGTATTCAAACATCAAATAGTTACACACCTTAAAAAACAAACAAATGTGCTCTGAAAAAAAAGTTCCCTAGGAAGCAATAAAGTATAAAGGATATACTGTATATCTTGGCACAAGTGAGAGATCCTTTGAGTAAGAACAGGACATTGTGTCAGTTTTCTGGAGGAGCTGAGGGTAACATTTGTCCGTCATAATTTAAAGAATCGGTCTCATAAAATAGATGTCATATGAAAAGGACATTTAGAAAAATTTGCAGATATATAAATGGCCCAACTTCAAATCTTTAGTCCTTAATATATAAAAACAAATGAGATACAAGCTTTGCTAAGCCACAACATTCTTGCTCATATTAATAAGGAGCCGTGCAAGAATGACCGTAAGAGAAGCCATTGCTGAGAAATGCAGGTCATTTGCCCCCGTCATCCACAGCTTTCTGTCCAGAGTTTGCCAGACAAAACCCCTCCAGCACCTGTTGTCTCTAGAGAGGGCATTCCAGCAGCTCTGCCTCCAGAAGTCCAAAACAAAACACAGAGGCAAGGTCTTTCATGGAAGAGAAGCTTGCAAACTCCCTTTCTGTGTAGATCCTGTGATCAACATATGCTGCATTGTGCAGAAACATGATTCTCGCTTAATAACCTTGAATAAAAGACTACACAATTCACTTTAGATTAAACACACCATATAACTTGAGCTTGCTTAACTCGTCATGCTCATTAAAACTGACAAAGACTAAAAAAATACAGAGTGGGAATGCAGAGAGGGTTAATTCACCCCACATGGTGCAATAAAAAAAAAAAAGCCTTTCTGCAAGCGAAGGACAGCAGTGAACTGTGCTGTCCCTCGAAAACATTTCTAGTAGCACATGGCCATTTCCCCTGAGACAGGGGTTTAAACATCCTCATGCACTTCCCACCCAGCCCAGATTCTGCTCCTTTTGTCTGTGGGACCACCCAAATGGAGCATTTAACCCGCAAATCTGCCAGCCGTTCACTATTGTCATCTCAATCTAAGATCTAATCACTTTTTGGTTTCATAAACTCAAATATCATCGCCGACCTGTAGCACAGAGGTCATAGTTTAGTTTGCAATTACTGACTTTTTGAGATTTTACATGTTTGGGGTCCCAGAGACATCAAAGCTGTATGTGTAAAAATAATTTATTTCAATAATTTTTTCTGAGAGCCAATACATCATATACTACAGTATATCATTTAAAATTTGGAGTCAGTAATTAAAAAATAATAATAATTACTACTCTTGTTCAGTAAATATGCATTAAATTGAACAAAAGTGACAATAAAGACATTTATAATAATACATTATAATGTTATATAACATATTTTAATTTCAAATAAATGGTGTTCTTTTGAACTTTCTATTCATATTTCTATTTTAATTCTGATAAAAAAAAAGTTTTCACAAAAATATTAAATTACATATTAAATAATATTAAAAAACACAACTGTATTCAATCGTGATAAGAACAAACAAAAATTCTTTGTTAACATAAGATGCTTCTTTCAAAAAAAAAAAAAAAAAGTACTAAACCCAAACTTTTGAATCGTTATGTAAAGTAATAATGCTTTAACGTTACATTCAGGACATCTAAAGCATTTCTATTAAATATATATATAAAAAAAGTCATCAAGTATAAACATGATTCTTTAAAGTATGTTTTTTTAAGTTATTAAACATGGTATAAAACATGGTAAATAATAGTTATAGTAAAACTTTTTTCTGTCATGCATTACAGAAAGAACCAGTGGAAATTAATATGCAATAATAGTGGTAAAACTCCAGATTCAAAAACCACCAGACATCCGTGAGCTCAACAACCAATCCGGTTCAGTCCCAAGAGGGGTGTGATAGCAATCTCTGCCTTGGAATTAATTCAGTGCATATATACACATATCATATGACGCTTACCTATTTCATAAACTGTCTACAACTACAAGCAATATAACATTTGTACATACAAGGCGTTGCTGTATTGTGCAGTTCTTGCTGTTGAAATCTGCTTTTTTACTTTTTTTCTTATACAAGTGTGTGCACGTACCAGGATGAGGGCCCAAATCAGGAATCGAGCCAGGATACTTTTATTCTTTTTACGAAAAAACAGAAGAATCTTTCCAGCCTGTGGACACAAAGATTATTTCCAGTGTTAGACTAAATACGTAAACGTTTGACTATTTTCATAGCAAAATGATGCGTATTAAGCCTGCACTTTAGGCTGAATAGGTCATAATCCTCTAAGTAAACTAAAATAATTAATAGCAAATAGACTGCAGGACAATAATGCTTATCATACGTCATACTGATATCATGTTCGGACAGAGAGAGAGGATGTGAGCAGTGGTTGTGGCCCTGAAAAAGAGCTCAAGTTTCAACGCTCCCCGTGCAGCCATGCACGGCTGTGAAGTTGGCCGTGCTCACTGATTAATTCGGTGATGATGAATGAGCCTCAGCCGAGAACGATGGAGCGGACGGACACAGACGGAGAGGCCGACACCTGCCGTGTTCTCAAAGACATGTTGATTGACGGGCTTGGCGCTAACTGTTTTTTGCCTCCGCCCACAGGGATTTCAGCAATGCAACTGAGTTTGCACGTCTAGTTCTCACCGGTCACCAGGGCACTGTCACCATCAAAGGGTGAGAAACTTTTCTGACCTTTGCCAGAGACGCACACATCTGTCCACAGCAGCAAGGACCGCTGAGACAGAACAGCTGTTTGTCTAAGAGAGCTGCCAGCAAATCCAGTCCAATATTATGGATTTATCATTGTTCGGTGAACTAAAAGTGAAATTAGTCAATGAGACAAGAAGAGAACATGTTGAAAAGTCAATGATCTATAGTCTGTGAAATACACGGTTTGGATAAGTCACATGTTGGGCTTTGGATTAGTTTTAGGCTTTCTCTCTCATTTGTCACTGGATCACTTTTGTGGAGTTGTCTTTGGTGCATGTCCTTTAAAAAGTAAATTTGATTGTTTATTTATTTGTTTGTCACTTAATTCATTTTTACTTTTTATATATCTAACAAAGTTTGTCTTATTTATACAGTTAGTTCTGGTTCTTTAATATGACTGGATTCCAAGAGTGCAAATTATTTTTCCCCATTTATGTTGGATTGCATTGCATTGGAACTATTCTGCACTATTCATCAAAACAACAAAATAACTGTGCATACTGTACATAAAATGTAGATTACTTTCATAGATTAACTTATTGTTTATAGAACTATTGATGTTAACAGCAATATTTGTGACCCTGGACCACAACACCAGTCTTAATTAGCATGGGTATATTTGTAGCAATAGCCAAAAATACATTGTATGGGTCAAAATTATTGAGGTTTAGTAAAGATCATGTTCCATGAAGATATTTTGTAAATTTCCTACCGTAAATATATTAAAACTTAACTTTTGATTATTAATATGCATTGCTAAGGACTTCATTTGGACAGTTTCAAAGGCAATTTTCTCAATATTTTGATTTTTTTTGCACCCTCAGATTCCAGATTTTCAAATAGTTTCAAATAGTAACATACCATACATCAATGGAAAGCTTATTTATTCAGCTGTCAGATGATGTATAAATCACAATTTCGAAAAAATGGACCCTTATGACTGGGTTTGTGCGGTCTGGGGTCACATTTTATAGATATTGCTTAAATACTGTTATCTTCAATTACCTGCATGCCAAAGAATCCCATGACAATGGAATTAATTGTACCCAGAACACCCTCTGGGTCGAAAGGCTCGGTTGTACGATACAAGACCTACAGAAACAGAAACGATACATTTTCTGTAATGCAATCCATACAATCCAATGCCATTTTAATCATTAAAACTATAGCTGTGACCTCACTTAATAGAGTGATAATGTGCAATCAGATTATTGCAAATAATCCCCTGCGTGTAGCTTACTACATGACTAGTCACTAACTAAGTCAATAAATGGACATATTGATTTGTGAAACCATGGAGTGATACAAGACACACAATAATATCACAGTGCAGGGGCAATGGTCAAATATAAATTTTTGCTCTTATTATACATAACAAAGCCAACTGATCAATCAGAATCAAGTATTCAGTGTCAGATATTTACTGCATTGAACTGGTTAAAGATGACCGTAAATGATTCACACCTTGCATGTTGGATACCAGAAGATGTTGTCCCCAAATAACCACCTGTCTATATACGCGGCTGCTGCTCCTGTGCAGTTGGGGTATAAACCATCATCTCCAATACCACCAGCTCCTAAATAACCACTAGCAGAGGAAATTATGTAATATTCACTACCTTTCAAATCAAAAGTTTGGAAAAGTTTTTGAAAGAAATCACTTATGCTCACCAAGGCTGCATTTGTTTGATCGAAAATACAGTAAAACAGTAATATTGTGAAATATTATTACAATATTTAAAATGACTGTTTTAATAAATTTGAAAACTTAATTTATTCCTGTGATGGCAAAGCAGAATTTTCTTTAGTGTCACATGATCCCTTAGAAACCATTCTAATATGCTGATATTAAGATCAAGAACGATTTCTTATTATTGTTAATGTTGTAAAAAACAGTTGTGATGATCAATAATTGTGTGGAAACCATTAAACATTTGTTCAAGATTCTTTAATGAATAGAAAGCTCAAAAATAGCATTTATTTGAGATACAATCTTGCAACCAGTGTTAATTTCGTCAACGAAGACGACGACGAAAAATATTCGTTAACGAACATTTTTTTTGTGACTAAGACGAGACGTAGACGAGCTAAAACGAATATCTGATGATAAAAACTATGACGAAATTTATGCCGCGTCTTCGTTAACGAGACGAGACGGAACTATGATGTTATTTGAGGACTACCGGACATTCAAAATACATCCTATAGCAACAATGTAAAAATCTTAATGTCACATTTAATCAATTTAATCTGTCCTTGCTGAATAAAATTCACTTCTTTTAATTTATTTTTACTGACCCCAAACATTTGAAGGGTAATGTATGAGTTCGTTGTAATTCAAATGAATATATTATAGCAATGTAACAATTCATTATTCAGTTTATTTTTGATAGCGCTGTTCAAAGCAAAGAAACAGCCAAAGGCGACAGTGACAAGAAAAACATTTATAGAAAAGTCTTTGGTTTAATTATTTAGAAGGAAGTGTGTTTGTTGGTAGCAAAATTTGAAGCTGCATTGTGTTGCAACACAAGGACAATGACTGCAAGGTCAAAATGTTTTTTTTATTCAAGCAGAGTTATCAGCGCTCTGCATGTGATCGTCAATGTCATGATGGGTCAGACACACTGAAAAAAAATCTTGAAGGAGAGGAGAAGGAGGACGTAAATGGAAGGTTGAGCGGATACGAGGAGAAAAAGGGAGAGAGACAGAGAAAGGAAGATGAATCCTTTCTCCCTGCCTCCTTTTAGTGCATATGACAGACTGAGATTGGCTAATTATCCCCTCTGAAGCGGCCGCCAAACACTCATAAATCACAGATCTCATAAGAGCCGCACAACACGGGCTTGTACGGCACGCACCCTCATGCGTTCACCAACTCACAAACACAATGCCACACAAATGATCATATTGCAATGAATATATATGCGCATTCGTAAATGTGCAACATTACCGCCATCTCGCATATATTCTCAGCGGCGCACTTGTGTAATAATGCCAACATATATGTAACCCAAGGAATTAGCTTGATGTATGAATGACATTATTATTATGTTAATAAAGGGATGCACTGCAGTTAAATCAGGTTTGACAGACACATTACACATTAATTATTGAATGCACAGGATTTATATTCGATATTATTGTGTTTGTATTGTTGAGTGTGATAGTTAATCTTCTTCACAAATGTGTACGGTCAAAGCCTGACGCTAATATGAACTCACGTGGGGCAGTTTGGAACAGGCAGTAAGAAAGTGAGACCCAACCACATGGTCTCCAGCAACACAATGAAGATCCACTCAGGCCAGTATAAAACCAAATCTTGAATGGGGTTCCACCAGTTATGCTGAGGAGAGCATGCAGAAAGCAAACAGGGTTAGTAATCACTCAGTCTTGCATGTATATATAGTAATAAGTTAATCAAAAACAATTATTTGACATATTAACAAACATATTGACATCATCTTACTGTAACCTCTAGCAATTAATCATTATTTCAGAACAAGTGTCTTCCTGTACAGATGTCTGATCTGAGAGAAATGTGAGCCATAGAGTTTACCCCACCTCCCTCAAGGGGATCTCTCTGTGGGGAGAGAAAGTCTGCATCAGTGCCAGGACAAAATAGGTGAAACCCAAACGCTGGAGCACTCCGGGTATCCGTAGCCAGGACCAGGATACTAACACATTTATGCACACACACAAATATAAACATACGATTACTATTACAGACTATTGATGGAAAGACACACTCACATATAATGCATTTTTAATAGGGTTGCATTTAATAGTAGTCAGCAAGCAAGTCAGTGGAGAGCTTTTGTTTCTTTAGCTGTACAAGTGCTTTACCTATAGATTATATATCGTCCTTTGGATACATTACTGTGTTTAACAGGAATTTCTTATAGTAAGACTTTTTCTATGAAACCAGTGCAGGCTAATCCATTTTCTGTCATAAAATAAATGATCTAAAAATACACTATATTGTAGGATAATAGCATATAAGTACTGTATATAATATTTGTAATATACAATAATACATATCACTTTTATACTTATATATACTTTTAAAGTTAACATGAATTAGAAACTACTTAAAACTGATATATAAACAGTTTAAGTGTATCCATATAACTATACAAACTAATAGATTTTTTAAAAAGAAGTTCTATTGATCAAAGAATCCTGAAAAAAATACCAGTTTCCACAAAAATATTAAGCAGAATAACAGTTTTCAACATCGATGACAATAATAAAAAAAGTTTCTTGAGCATCAAATCAACATTAGAATGATTTCTGAGCTATATATATATATATATATATATATGTATATATATATATATATATATATTTAATAATAAATAGTTGTAATTTCATTAAAACGTAGAACTACTACTGTGAATATACAGCAACCAGTAGCAAGAAATATAAAATACATTTTAGATAAGAATTTTACTGCACATCTAAGGTCTGAACACTTCTAGGTGTTGTGCTGTTTTTCACTGAAGAGCAGATTAATGTCCATAACACAGTCTAATGATGATTATGCTGACACAGGCCCAGGCTGAGGTGAGAAGTCTTTCACTGCAGGACTCTAGAGGTGTGATCTACCCTGCCGGAGACTAATAATGCTTATCTGAGGAGATGCTGGCGGGGCGGGTGATGGGAGCGAGCGATATAGAGCGAGAGATTGATGGTAATCTGCACATTAGTTAATTGAAAACCTCTTTGTGGCACGTACCAAGGGCCACAAGAAACAATATAATACTGATCATTGATCCAACAAATCAAATAAAAAGCGGAAATACTCCACCTCTGTGCATGGAGACAGGAAGTGGTTCGGTGACTAATGGTATCTGTCAATTAAATCCCATATGCACACACTTTCTAGAGCAAATCCGCTGTGCAATTTATCAATCAAAGAATTGACAGTCAGTAATTTTGCAAAAAGATTAGTTTACAATCAACATTGTAATGCTTTAAAAAGTGTTTACCTGTGTTCACTGTAGCTCAGTGTGAGTTAAATTATGAACGGAGAAACAGTAGGGTAATTATTATGCAGAAGTGGGACTGTTTTGGTAGATTTGCAATGATAAAAGCATTAATGCATTGTGTTTCTAAGATTAACATTCTTTAAGTTCCAAGGATGATAATGGCTTCAGTGGCCAAGCAGAGACAGACCGACTAAAATCCTCACTGGTGCCATGTTTAAATAGAGCATTTAGTCAAATGATTTTCAATGAATTGTAATATATTTTGTTGCATTTGAATGCAGGTATGTTGGGGGAAAATGGTCTCTGAGTGATTCACAGGCTGAGGTATCAGATATGGAGAGAGTAAATTTTGCAGTTTAGGGCAAAAGCTGTAATTACATTACATGAAGTTCCATAAAATCCGCTGTGCAGCTGGCATGATGAAACCCTATCTGTGATAATTGACCATTAACGCCAGACTTGTTTTTGCTCTGTGCACCTCTGTTCAACGGCTCCAGATATTATGATTGCCACTGGATCACTGGAAAAATATCACAATATTTTTATTAACTTAGTTACACATCCATCCTGCCAGACAGCTAAGCTGCTTTGTCTAATGTATGAGCAATGCTCTGCACTGACCTGTCAGACGACTCTCCCTGCCCTCCTCGCTTTACCCTGACAGTCTTAATGTGCTGCTGTGAGACCCTCAAATAGTCATTTTGGCTTTCATTCTCTCATCATTAACAGAAGCTAATGGACTTCATTTGCAAAATGAGGATATGGTGACTTGAAAATGTAACGCTTTCGTATTACTTCAGAAAAAGTTCACAGTCTTTGTTAATAAGGGGGTGGATTGAAGGGTGCAGGTCACTGTTTGTCTGGTATCAGTCACCGCCAGCCAGAATAGAACAACTATAATGAGTCTTCTAGCTTTCTATTGTACTATGATAAATCCAATGCAATGCAAGCAGAAGCATCATGCCAATTCAAATACAAAATAAAGGTGCTTCACGATGCCACAGAAGAACCTTTATGTCTAAATGGTTCCATAAAAAACCTTTAACATATGAAGAACCTTTCTGTTTCACAAAAGGTTATTTGTGGTGAAAGAAGGTTCTCCAGATTATAAAAAGGTAAGAAAGAGATGGTTCTTTAAAGAACCTTTGACTAAATGGTTCTTTGAGGAACCAAAAATGGTTCTTCCATGGCATTGCTGTGAAGAACCTTTTGAAGCACCTTTATTTTTAAGAGTGTAGAGGAGGCATGTGCATCATTCATCATTATGTGGACTGTCAATGCAACTAAATTATTATTGTCATTGAAAATTAATCCCCTTTATTTCTTAAAAAAAAAAAAAGCTAGACTTGACTCTCCCATCTTACATTTATAGAAAAAATGAAAAGAAAAAAGAAAAAAACTGTAACTAGAAGGCCACCAAGTGGGCCAGCACCACCACTGGTGCCCTTCAAAAATAAAAAATTGAATAAAAGTTATGATATGACTGTTGTAGAAAAGGACTGGAAAATATGTATAGCCTACTCACAATATCCATCTCTTGGGCTGTAGTTCATGAAGCAGAAACCGATGAACATCAGGACGATGGTTCTCCATGTAATCTTGCGAAGGAGCTGTAGCCATGGAACACCTTTCCTATGCATCGAGGTGAATGCTAGCACTACAGAAGTACCTATGATGAACACAAACCTTGCCAAAGAATTAAAGATAGTATTATTGTACATAACATACTGTGCATCACTACATATGTATGCTTTTGCGATATATTTCCATTGGTTAATGCTAGATCTTTAGCAATTCTGATTTTTGTATGTCAAATGAGGGGTAGATTGTGTACGTATATGGCTTTTTTCCATAACAAACAAATCCACAATTTAAGGTGGTTACTGCATTGCTGGGTCTCTATTCATAGAGGAATCTGCATTAATTTCATCATGAATTAAAGTAGTCTCTGGGTATTACAAGCTTTATGTATACTCCCAGAGAAAGAAAGATGAATTGGCATAGGCAAAGCATTTTAAACGGTGGTGGGCTGGAAAAGCCTTAAATCTGAAAGGTTCTGAAGGCAGATCCAAATTGTTGGACTGAAGTCCCACTCTTTTCCATATTAATCTCAAAAATGGAAAGTAATAATTCTCCATCGATTCATTAAGTACATGCTGGCAGCTCACCAAGGCATCACAAGATCAGCTACTGTGAGACCTGTAACGTATATGGAAAAAGACATTCACACACATGAAAACACACACACATCTGGTGCATGTCTGTCTACAGTTGCTGGAAAGTTGGCCATTTGATTGACACGTAGGAAATGCATTATCTTATTGCTGAATGACTGACAAATGATTAGTTTTATCCTCATAATCACACTTAATTGTAAACTAATGCTGTCACTCAAGAGTGTAGAAACTGATGATAAAAGATTGTGTGCCTTTAAAAACATTGTTTTCTCATTATTTTTCGATTTTCAGACAGCAAATGATTTATAAATGCTCCTACAGTCATGACAGAGGAGGCATCACAGTAATATGAAAATCCATCTGCTTTCCCTTATGATCAATACAATTCTGCTGATATGATGAAGAGGCCATTATGAGCCTTAAATTGAGTTCATCTGTGAATACTCCAGGAGATGTGCTTCGTAATAGACCCCCATTAAAATTTAACATGCAACCCCTTCTCATCTGCGTCCTTTGAGGATGTTCATCCAAAAGTTATACTGTAGATGTGAAGTATAAAATGCATGTTGAATTAAAGTGTCTCTTTGATAAAGCAGCACTTTAAATGTAAGTATCTGATATCAGTACATTATATCTTTGGTAGTCCGTGAAGATTTATGAGGCATCATTTTAGCTTTCATTTCTTATCGGATGTACTTAATTAGTGGTATTTATTTAAAAATGCCTAAATAATAAGTGTAAGTGTATATTGCTAACTTGGTTCCAGCCAAAAACAAAAACAAAAAACAAAACAAAAAAAACTTAAAAATATTAAATGTTTAAATGAAACATTCAGAAGCCAAATTATTTTAGTTGACAAATTAAAAGACAATGAGTGAATGATTCTCATTCATCAGTTGCAATATGGAGCCCTGTATAGAGTAACAATTGGAGAGATCATCCCAGATCAACATATATGTAACCAATCAGCAAAATAACTCACCATTCCAAGGTGCATGTTGGAAAAACCAGTAACCACCTCCACCGGAGTTCACAAATATCATAACCGTCAGAGAGAATCTGTAAACAAAATGCCACAAAAAATGTAATCAGAATATGGAGTATTTTTAATAAAAAAAATACATTATCTAAAAATAATATTAAGCAAATATTAAGACTATTAATGATTAATATTGTTAACGAGCAGAATTTCAGAATTTCAACAAAGATTTTGACAAAAGATTTTTTTTCAGTTCATTTCTTTCTTTTTTCCATTTGATCAAATGAGATTCAAAATACAGTTTATACAACATACAACATCCATTAACATTCAAAAGTTTGGGGTTAGTAAGATACAAAACCAAAATTTTGAACAGTTGTGTACAAACACATAAGCAAAAATGATCAATTATCTTTGCAATATTCTTTGGTACCTCAACTGTCACTTGTACATTTAAGGTAAACTGTATCAGTATTATGGATCATAAGGCCAGAAGGTGTGGCATTTGTTTTATATATCAGAGACGAAATGCTGTGTAAGGTAATGCAACCTAAGCATTATGAATCACTCAGGAAATGAACGGTTGTCCTCTGAATCGCCTCACCCAGAAGTGCTGACTAAAGCCCTCTGCTGTAGACGGAAGCCAAGCTGCAACTTACTGTGCATGATGGAACACTACATTGAATTAGCAACAGCAGATGTTTTTTTTTGCACGTAAGAAAATGCATGTTTGCACTATACAACATAAATATGCCCGTGGACATGAAATTGATTTTTGTGATCAGACCCTGAGACAACACCTCAGCTATTAAACTGACAACACTCGAATCATGGCGTCGAAATTTTCTCTTTGGTTTATCTGTACATACTGAGAAAGTAAAGCACTGCATGGACCTTCAGATAAACTTCATTCTATCTAACCGATCTAAATTTTTCTTCACCAAATTCAATTAGGAGATCAGAACAGAGACCATTACTGCTCCTTTTAGGCCTAACCTGCTGATACAAGATTTTAATCACATGCCATCCTCTAAAGAGCACTATTAAAGTAAGCATGTCTTTGTCTTTCTTCTCTCTCTCTCTCTCTCTCTCTCTCTCTCTCTTTTACACACATACTCTTTCTCACACACACTTTGCGACTGCATCCATTAGTATCCATAGTAACGATGACAAAGGTTAAGTCATTTTCAAGATGAGACTATGGCACAATGTTTGCAATATAGCATGTTATAGCCAATCATTTTAATTAAAAACCCCTCAGTGTTTGGGAGGCTTTCACTCTCTTAAAAAAAAACCTTCCAAAGCAAATTAACTATTTTATTGCTTTAAGCTTTCTTTGTCTTTCTGTCATAACCTGTAAGTTATCAAAAAACCGCAACAGACACTAAAACAATGTTGTGTCTTTGTGTTGCCTCTTATTAACCACTGTTGTTAACAAGTACAAAATGTATTTTGGCAGTTACTCCCAGTGTATATTTATCATTGTCATTTTATGCCACAGCTATAGCTCTTTGTAATTCCTGAGTGGGCACATTCGTAATTTATACATACTGCAGTTTTCCCTTTAAAAGCCTGAGATTTCAAATAAAACTAGTACAGGTAACTCTTGAAATAAGGAGTTAAATAACATGACTTGCAATGGGAGTACAATCTGAAAATTATTTACATTCAAATTAAACTGCGTAGCTGATGCTAATCATTTGTGATTTCTAATGTATATAAACACATTTCTGATTTATATAAACAGCAGTTTCCACTGTAACAAGCTTGAGATATCAAATAAAATGAGTGCAGGTCAAATTTAAATACTTAAATATGTTAAACTATTAAAATCAAGGAGTTGAATAACATGGCTTGCGATGGGAGTATGATTAACATTCAAATTAAATGACATAATTAAATTTAAAGTTGTTCCAAACCTGTATGAGTTTCTTTTTTCTGTTAAACATAAAATATATTTTGAAGAATGTAGGGAACTAAAAGATGATGGTCCCCATTGACTTTCACAGTATGTAAAAATCAATGAGAAAGTCAATGGGGACCACATTCTTCAAAATACCTTCTTTTGTGTTAAGCAGAAAAAATAAATTTATACAGGTTTGGAACAACTTGAAGGTGAGTAAATAATGACAGAACTTTCCCTCCAGTCGCCAAGAACAAAACGAAAGAGTTGCACGTTAGCAAACTGACTTGTTTCCTGCTTAGAAAAGTACAGGGTATATTTAACTAAATGAGCACATTTTGAAGTACATCTGCTGTTATCGTAACTTATCATCACAAAACCACCAGCGTCAATTTGTAATCACAAATATGAGGAAACTAGCTGCAGGCTTTTGGCTGGCGAGATTAAAAACCAAATCCTTTTTAAAAAATTAAAATGCAAATAAAGTCTACAGTTATACTATATATCATGTTGATGGCAACTGATGAATTGAGGGCGCTATTCTTCAGCTCTGAGAAAAACCGTAGCCACAACAATTTCACCAGGGAGGTGGGCAGATGACAGATGCTTCTGTCTTCAGTGAAAAGTTTTGACTCGTTGCTGGACAGGCCATATTTCATGTTATACAGCAAGGGAGTTGCAACACTACAGGCTCTCTAGGTTGATATGCTCACAAAGAGCCAAAGACATCCACTGACAATATTAAGTTCCATGTATAGCCAAATCAGGGATCCCATGTGTATTTTGTAGTGTTGATTTTATTTTGGACCCGCAATAGCTGCAAAGCCCTTGTGAAATATCATGCATTTGTTGCAGAATCCAATATTACCTCGGCATCATGAATCAACGGCCCTGACAAGCCAGCTGTGATGTCATCCACTGAGTCTATATGAATGAGATGATGTCTATATCATATTCAAATTCAGCACTCTAGTGCCAGATTACAGAATACTTAGGCTGAAATTAAGGAAACGTTGAAGCAAAGAACCAAAGTCTCCAGCCACACTGATAAAAACCATTAGGCTTAACAAGGAAATGGACTGTTTCATATACAAGAGTAAAAGCAGGTATAGACTTAGTGGAACATGTTTTTATCAGCACTGCGGTTTACAAGGAATATGATTACGAATGTGACTGGATCATTTATGAATTGCATTAAAAGTTTCACATAAAGAGGCTGGAACAAAACGTATGGCAATTCTAAGAACCATAAAAGCTTGGTTATTCTAACTGTCGTTGATAGTACAAATTGCCACTGGTGAGGTGATTGCTATTTGAAAAGCACTTTTGCAACACACATGGACTATCCATTACACAAATCTTGATCTGGGAAGTCATATCCACTCCAGCTCCAGATCTACAGCCTGCTGAATATGTTCTGATATGCTGATATGGTATTATTACATCAATTATTGGGAAGTGAGAGGTCAAAGCCGTAGCAGCTTCCTGTTTCGGCCGGGTGAGGCGTGCTTCTGCGTTTGCCCCCGAGCCACTATCAAGCCCTGCTGGGCTTCCCGATTAAATCACATCACCCTTGCTCAACAGCAATCCACTGTTCCCCAGCACAGAGGCAAAATATATTAGAGATGATGCCTAGAGCGACCTCTGTAAACAATGGCTCGAGTGAGTGTATGTCCAGCCTGTGACCCCTTCTCTTTAGTCCCACAATGCATTCTATGAGCGAATGTGGCCATCAAGCCAATGACAATTGATATTAATAGGTTCATAGAATTTAGAAAGTTCAACATGTTCAAAATTAAGTCACCATTTTAGGCCAAATAACTGAAAAGTCATTTTTTGGCACATACCCTCGAAATGTGTCCAGTGACTTCAGCCTTGATGACTTTGATTTGCTTTTGTCCACAGAATGTTCATTATTCGCCTCATCCTAAAAAACAAAAATAATCAATTCAGTATGTCATTAAATAAAGGTCAGTTCTAAGATGGGCCTTCATATCTACTATTATTTTTTTTATATATCCTTCATTAGCTTTGAAACATAGGAGCGACATATTTGCATGAACATAATTGAAGCTACCCGCTCTGCTTTAACGCGTGGCTGGCGGATGCACCGGGTAGCACCGCTTCACACTTTTGGAGTACTTGCTTTTTGCAGTTTCGCGTGGGCTGTAATTTAAAAACAGCGCCTAATATAAGGTCTCCCTCGCTTAGGCGATCGGCCCACCGGGAATGTCCCGGTGCTCCCGATGGCTAGTAGGTACATCGCTGGGTATGTTCAAGTCAGCTAGATATGCCCAGATGCTGCGCAATTAGGCTTATTTAATATATCATGATGAGTCTCGGGTTCAGTATTTACACTAAATCTGCGCAGATTTGGTTTACATGAACTTCCTCAAGAAATTAATTAGTAAACATAATTTACGAAAAGTAACCTGCCAAATTGGCTAGTGATTTGACAGCGTTACCCGCCACAGCTTGCAGGTGTTAATTTCAAACCCTGTATATAATGTATTTAATAATAATAATAAAAAAAATGTAAATATTAAATTTAAATATTACTGGTACATATACACACGCACACAAATATATATATATGAACATATATATATACATACACAAAATTTATATCATAAAGCATTTGCAGTTTTAGCAATTGACACTGTTTTGTCAGGAAAAGTATTGATTATGGTTTGTCAAATGAGCATACTATAAATAAATTCATGTTCAAAATCAGTCGTTGCTTTGGCCATGTTTGTGGAGCATGAGCAGCCTAGTACAGTACATGTTTGGGAAGCATGAATAGTTTCTCTCATTTCCAAAGAAATATGTTCCCATTCACCATATGGTCTTGTGATGGCAGTGAGATCCATCACAAAGGAATTAGCATTACCCTCTTCCTGCTCTGGCTCTCCACACAACTGGATGAAAGGCCGCAGACAAAGCTAATCAAACTTTCAAACCAGGAAAATCAAACAAGATCTCAGAAAATTAAACTATATCTGCTACAAGGCTCCTTGTATATCTCTATCAGCCGTTTGCTTTTTAGATGTAATCATCCTGGAAATTGCAGATTACAGTTGCTATGAACTAAGCATAAACAAATGCACAGTGTATGAGGCATAACATCTGTTCCTATTGTATCATGTATGAACCGTTTTGCCCTCACCAGTTCTATGGAGTTTTGAGATCCGCGACGGCAAATACGGTTCTTTAGCCTCTGTGTACAGCTGCATCTGTAGTGGTATAAAACAATATTTTACTTTGAAATCAACTTTAAAAAAAAACTACGTTTATATACTGTTCAGAAGTTTGAAAGAAGTCTCTTATGCTAACCAAGGCTGCATTTATTCAAACTAAATATACAGTAAAAGCAGTAATATTATGAAATAATAATGCAATTTAAAACAACTGATTTCTTTTTTAATGTATTTTAAAATGTAAATTATTCTTGTGATGTCAAAACTGAATTTTCAGTAGCCATTACTTCAGACTTTAGCGTCACATTATCCTTCGGAAATCATTCTAATATACTGCTTTGATGCTCAAGAAACATTTTTTGTTGTTATTAATGTTAAACAGCTGATACATTTTTTTTTCGGGATTTTTTTGGCGAATAGAAAGTTCAATCACATTTAAAATATAAATCTTTTGCAACATTATAAACATCCTGACTGTTACTTTTGATCAATTTAAAGGGGTCATATGATGCGATTTCAATTTTTCCTTTCTCCTTGGAGTGTTACAAGCTCTTGGCGCATAAAGAAGATCTGTAAAGTTGCAAAGACTAAAGTCTCAAATCCAAAGAGATATTCTTTATAAAAGTTAAGAGTCAGCCACACCTACCTAAAACGGCTCGTTCTAACACGCCCCCACATATCTACGTCGCTATGTGGGAAGATTTGCATAACACCGCCCAAATGTTCACGCAAAGAAAGAAGGCGTAACTTTTATTCTCGCTGTAGTTTTGTTGTTGCCGCCGCCATGTCGTGAAGACGCTGTGTGCTTCGTTGTGAAAGCGAAACTACTTTGTTTGGTCTTCCAAAAGAGGACGATATCCGCTTCGTCATGCCTAGAGCTGATCTGTGGTCATTATAATCCATAATTATGTCCCCACTGGATGCAACGAATGCCTCGTTTATAATGGGTTTTCATGTTTTTGTCTCATCGCTCCGGCCTGACAGGGCATCATCATCACAATATGGTGAGGGGTGTAACATTTCCGTAACACGCTTGAGGTATTCGGCCAATCACAACGCATTGGATAGCTGGCCAATCACAGCACACCTCGTTTTTCAGACCGATGAGCTTTGTACAAATCGACACGTTTCAGAAAGGCGGGGCATAGAGGAGAAACAATAATGTACAGTATGTGGAAAATAATGTGTTTTTTTAACCTTAAACCGCATAAACACATTTCATTAAACCAAATACACAAAATAATGTTCTTTTTAGCAGCATCATATGACCCCTTTAAAGCATCCTTGCTAAATAAAATTATTCATCTTAAAAGTAAAAAAATTAAAAGTAAAAAAAAATCTTACCCCAAACTTTTGAACAGCAGTGTAATTGGAAAAACAGGTAATATTATTACCTGAGTATATAAGGCAAAGAGGCCCAAAATACAGTGATAGAAGCCAGGATCAAGAATGCCGCCAACAGCGCTGAGGAATCAATATCAAATAAATAAGAGCAATGGTTATACAAACTTTTACTGCGTCTTTTTCTTTTATTTATCAATAAGGATTATGTGAATGCCTCTTGAAGACAGCATTTAGTCAGTTACAGTAATTAAAAAGTAAGGGTAACAAACATGCTCAGTTTCTCAGCCTTTGCTCTGAACAGCCTCTGTCACCCATGCTATGCCACGAGAGAGCTCTCAAGAATCCAGCAGTGTCCTTTTATGTAATCTGAAACCAGTCTATAGGCGTACAATCAATCTATGAAACCCTAGCCTTGGGTCTCCAATACTGAGGCAATATTTTCACAGTGCATGATGGAATGGATCATATCGGCTGTCAGAGGCCGTCCTCCATGATACTGACTGCTTATGGGAAGGTGTAAAACAGGAAGCAAAAATGCATCATATTCCAAGTATTTGGAAGCTGTACAGACATCTTTATTGAGTTTGTGTATACTGCAAGATAAAACTAAAAATCAGACTGGAGTGAGATCAGGAGCATTTGATATACTTTTTTCCATAAAACTAAATTGAGTTCAACATTGTTACATAATGCTTACATAAGGCCTAAATTGGAAGCCCACCGTTTATCATCTTTTATAATCAAAACATGGACGAAAACCCTCACACAGAATATCATGGCTAATCAAATGGACATGTTGCACCCGGTGATCTCAAGCCACTACTTTTCAATGGGACAGTGGAGACCTTTTGCGGAAAAACAAACACAGAAAGAACCATTTGATCAAAGTGTGAATACACTTGATGACACAAGGGGAAACAGTGAAGTTGTGACGATACTATAGTGATTACTGAGTGCAGGAGCCTGGACAAACTGGCCCTGAGATAAATAAACACTGCGTGCACATCCAACACTGTGCCTACTTAAGAGTACCTTTAAGTATGTCATGTTTGTCGTGCTTCAAATGTCCTTTAACTTAAGAGGCAAGAGAAACTAATTGGTTGCTATAGTGAGAAAACGAGTAAAAAATATACCAACATTCTAAAACAGGTACTTTTAATCCAGGGGTGTTCAAACTGGGGTCCATCATTTTGCATTACGTGTATATATATATATATATATATATATATAAATAAATTAAAATAAATTAAAATAAATTAGTTAACCTAAATAAAATAATGCATTCAATTTTTGAAAATTCAGTTTAATATTATTAGATTGTTGTCTTTATCTGTAAAAACACGTTGAAAATAAGAGATTAATCATTTTTTTTGTAAAGAAAATCTGCACATAGTTTTGTGAGGTACAAAATATTTTAGGGCTTACAAAGTTAGTTTAATAATTAAAATACATTTAACACAATTTTTAAATAAAATTTGACAGTACATTAATCGCAATTTATTATTTAACATTAATATTTTAATCAGTACAGTAAGGAAAAAAACTAATCTGCATATATGATGGGGGGAGGTCATTCTAGGAACGTACAGTGTGCTTTAGCACAATAAAAGCTAATTATTTAATTTTAGAGGCATGCCATCTTTATAATATCACACATTTTACGTACACAGTAAAATCGGTCTGTATACCTGAAAATATATAAATCCCTTTTTATTTTAAAAAGCGGTAATAATTTTTGGGGGTCCATGGCATCAAAATGCCATGGACAATTGCTGTCGTGTTTATTTGTAGTGCAAGGTAATACAGTTAATGCTGATCATCACTGTCTAATTATACTCAATTATTCTACGCTTATTTCACAGTAAATTATGTAACACTAAATTGCTTAAGTTGAAAATCTGCAACAATTAAAGTTACTCTCATTTGCGAATTTCAGTCCAAATGTTAATTAGAGTTTAAGGTTAAGCAGACCAATTACTGTATGTTTAATTTACTGCTTGTAGTCATCACAGACCCAAGACTGAGGTCAGAGTTTCTATTTTTCAGTCCAAGACAGCCTTAAAATATCAGTCTGGACAAAAAAAAACTCTGGGTAGTGCAATTCAAATGAAAACAGACTGGGTTTTTTTTTCTTTCCCGCTGTCCCCTCATCAGTTCTTCTTAACATCTGCTGATCACTAGCACCATCACTTAAGTTGTGAGAGCCCTTTGGAGCTGGAGTGTAATCACCAGCCAGTCCGCCTAATGGAAGCTCATCTTATAGCCGGGAGTTTAGTCACACTGGCCATATATCCGACAGATAATGGCTACTTGCCCTCAAAAGTCTGATCTACAACATAATCTGGACTATTGCAAAGTAGACGGCGCATTATGGAGTGTGGTGCTTTCAAAACCCCATTATGCTTTAATCCTTCATGCTCCTCTAATGTATTTCCCACAATGCTCCCCTCCCGGGGCATCTTACAAAACAAACATGGCAGAAAAGCTTTTCTTTGAGCTGTTTTTTCAAGAAACGAGCAGTTTAGCGGATCAATGCAGTTTCATCTGACTCCTGGGATATGAGAGAGGCGCTTTCCTTCTGAACTTTGGAACTCAATATGTGTCTTTTTGATGACTTATTTCATGTTTTTAATTACACAACATGCATACTTACGCAGGTATGCGTTATTCGGACTCCTATCCACAGTGAGAGAACAGGTTATATCATTTAGCAATCCAGACTGCCTCATCCAGAGAGAATAATGGCCAGCTTCCTCAAATGTCTGACTCAGACTAGGGAGGAGAAATAATGTCATCAACGTGTAATAAAACACTGATCCATCGTTATAGTCGTGATGATGGTTATTGAATTTTTAATGTTTTGTTTAAAAAGCTGTCCTCTTTTTAAACATTATTTACAATTTCTGTTACACATCATCACCAACATTTTCAGATTTATGAATTTGTTGTTTTCTTGTTAACCATAAATTGTTTGCTGACTGATGTAACTGTTTAACTAAAGTAGTCCAAAAATCAACTTTCACCTTATATTTACAAAAACCAAGTTGATTTATATAGTTCATCACCAACATTTTTATATTTTATGATTGTATTGTAGATATAAATGCCTCTTTGAAGCAGCATGGAGTTGAAAATAACAAAACAAAGACATAGAAAAGGCTGAAGGAGGCCATCTAGAGGGCAACAGGGAGAACTGCATTTTTTGAACCCATTTCACCTTTTCATCCCCCAAAATGTGCACTATAAGCCTTTATTGATCGACCTGGGAATGACATAGTGTCCGGCACGTTCTTTGAGGGAGAAAGTAAATCGATAATGGCTCGGTCTGGAAAGGGACCTCGGTATCGATCTTAAAGAAGCCCAGGACTAGACCCCAGCCGTACGGTGGGAGAGATACTGTGACTTGTCTTATGAAATCAGACACTCCCGACAACCTATTTGAAAACGGCCCAAACCTTGATGACTGTTTGAGGCCCAGGTTGTTTGTAAATATTGCTACGGTTTCCTCCTTCCAACATCCCAGCTGGGGTTTGTGAGAGGCCCCCAAGCTTGGATGTTTTAATGGTCTTTATCATCATTATTCCAGTGTCAGCTTGTTAACCCCAAAAATGCAGTGCTATCAATGCCCAGTGAGGTATTCTCCAAAGGGCAGCACTAAAGCCAGGTCACATTCAAACACATGGTCATAAATAGTCTCAGTGACTGCAAATGCAATTGGCTGCTATTAGGGCTATATATCTAGCCTATGTAAGGTCCTTCTGTACCTGATTTATAAACAGGGTTATTGAAAAGGCTTCATTTAAAAAGGATAATTATTTAGTATGATGTTAGTTAATGTAGCAAGTTGAGGTGTAGTTCAAGGTGATTCTTACCTGCACAGAGTGCCGTCTCCATCCACATGTGTGATTTTTAGAGTCAGTGTGAATTGTGTGCTTACCACCACAGAAATATTGCTCTGCCCATTCCCAACTGTGGCAAGGGGCTGATAAAGACACTGTCGAAGAGGTAGATGCTGTCATTTAATAGTATTTCTTTAATATTCATTTAACATACATACGCCATTTTTGACCATTCAAGCAGGCATACAGGTTTGTTACATATATTACATAGAAATTTTATATTATTATTTAATATTATTATATTATTAGATATTAAATAAAGGTTCATACTGCTCACAAAACATTTAACCACTTAACCTGCACATATTTTCTCTCTCTTTTTT